TTTTTTTTTTTTTCTCGGAAGGTAAGGTTGTAAGAAAAGAAGACCTTACTGCATTTTATTGCATTTTAAAGTGGTATACTTGATACTTGCTTTGGAGAGCTGTTGTTTTATGAAAACCTCTGGGGTTTCCAACCTGGAGAAATTTTCCAGGTTTTACGTGATTATTTATATGTATATATGTATACATAATACAGACACACACATAAATACACACACACAGACCCCTCTTTTTAAGTCCATTTTATCTGATGCTTCCTTCTTAATGTGAATTAATAATGCCAAAGCAATACTAAACAAGTCTTTTTTTTTTTTTAAATGAAAGAATGTCTTTCTATCCAGCAACTTTTAAAAAAAATCCTGCTATTAGCTGAGACTTAATACTTTATTCAAAGGCTGGTTATTTTAAAAGCATAAAAATATTTTTTGTTAGTAAATACCCTGGTTGAAGATAGCACTGTTAAAATTGTGTGGAGAAAACTTGCTGTTTACACTTTATTCCAACTACCCACATACCGCCAAGAGATTAACGCATAGAAGGCTTGGTCTGCCTGAATCTAGAAGCTATGTGATTTTTTTTTTTTTTTTTTTCCAGGGGAAAGTGCTTTCTACATGAAAGCTGAAATTCCTTTCCCCTTAAAAACAAAGAAAAATACCGCCCCCCCCCAGCAAGCCATAAATAAAACAACCACCAAAACCGGTGTATGCACTTCCCATTTTGACATCTCCCTGTTTGAGGACTAAATACGTCCTTTCTTCCTAAGGCAAGGCTGAAGAGGGCTCAAAAAAATCTTTTTTCTCATTTAGTTGATGTCTTCAGATTCATTAAGTCCTTCTGTGCCTCTGTGATACTTGTTAGTGAGTATTTGAGATGGTATTTATGCTTGAGATGTGTTTAAAAAAACTGTATATATTTTTTTCATCTCTGTCTAAGGAGCAGATTTTGAAATACATTCTGAGTTGTCGATGTCCCAACAAGTTGAGAAGAAGATGATTTCATGAAAAATAAATGTTGAAAGCTATTCTTGCTACGTTGTTCTTAACATGACCAATAAGTTTTGTTCTGTTCATTGTAGCATTAAATATTTTCCAACAAACTATTTTTGGTGGAAATAATTGAAAAGAAAATCCCCAGGGCAGCAAGATATACTTATGGTCTTTCATTTTCTGTTCACATGTTCAGGTATCCTAAGTTAGCTTTGTAGGCCAGATCTCTGAATACAAGTACAAACACAAGCTTTTTTGGTTTCATCAGACTGACCTTTATTAGCTTCCCTCCCTTCCGCCATCCCTGCTGTAATTCCAGAAGAATACGATAAGGAGAGGTAGATGATAATGCTGTCTTTATGCTAGGAAAATGAAATCTCACTGTACTGCTGTTATTTCTGTTAGTGAATATTCTGAAGTACTCTTTATGTTGTTTTTGTTTAAACAGGGAAGATAATTCATTGCAGTCTCCAGATGCATGCAGAATTCACGGTCATCTCTATGTCAATAAAGTGGCAGGGAATTTTCACATAACTGTGGGCAAGTATGTTCTGTTCAATTCCTGAAAATAAATCAAACGACAAAAAGGAGTTGACTTCTATATTCTATACAATGCATGTGTGTGTGTGTGTGTGCATTTACACTTTTGAGTTACTGACTGTTTTTTTTTATTAACCTTCCTGTACACATACTTGGTATTATTTTCCTTGTGGTGTCTTTTCTTACACAGTTAAAACCAAATTTCTTCATAAGTTACTAAAACAACGCAGTGCAGTGCATTGTTGCTTGCAGCGTAGTAGTTATGAATTCCAGTGTCTTACAGGATGAAAAGAAGTCCTCTGTCAGTGTACAGCATGGAGAGGACTGCTTGTACTTGCCTCCATTCTTTGAGCCTGTCCAGACTTCTCCTTTCTGCTGGCACACAGTTCACTAACATGGCCGAAGTGTAGATATGTGCCATTTCAGTGCTGAGATAACACAGTTAAAGAACCCTAGTTAGGGAACTAAATGCCAGTGCATCTTGATTTGCAGAGAGACTTTCTGATGTGATTTGGCAATGGCATTAGCTTATATACGCTGCCTGCAAACTAGAGTTGACTTTCCTCTGTGCTCTCCAGCACTGCTGTCCTTGCTTGTCTGCCTGTCACCAGAGACCTTAGCGTGCAGTCTGTGCTCTCTAATTTGTCCACACGTCGTTCCAGCTGCTGTCTTTGTGTGGTTATTTCTCCAAATGTCACTGCTGTCTGGTCTTGTACCACCTCTCTGATCTGCCCCTAGATGTCCAATTTCTTAAGCCCTTTCCAGACTCGATCGTTTCAGCCTTTCATCTGTACTGCCATCACGTCTCTCTCTGTGTCTCTAGTTCTGCAACCCTGAATAATCTTTTGCTTTCCTTTGCTTCCTTTTGCCCATCATTACATTTGTACTTCTGCAAAGTTGCCCTTTCTCTTGTAGGGGTTTTTTTTTTTTTAATGACTTGTCTCACTGGCCACCTTTGTACCTTATTGCCTGGTTATTTGTTGTAGTCCCGTCTTGACTGATCTCATTGTCTGTCTCCACCTTCTGTTAGTCCAAAACATACACGCATTTGGTAATCATTTAACTTAAGCTAAGTAGGGATAGTTTCCTGCATTATTGGCTGGACTGGTGGGGATAAAGGGTGGCTGAGAGACCATCTTACTTCCCAGAGTTGCACTTTTTTCCCCCCTTTGCTCTGTTACCAAGCTCTGCATTGCACTTTCTTTGCACGTCTACAAACAAGTGTCCAGACCTGAGGTTAACTCGCTTAGTCAGGGAGCAAATACAGAGCGTAGTTAACTTGCTTAGCTGTAGAACAAGCGCAGTGAAGTTTTCAGTAGTCACTTGAGCAGTTCTGCAGCTTTTAATGTGGTAGGCCTTGGTGGCTCTTCTAGTAGCCTAGTGACTCGATGTGTTTTTGACATTTCTAAAAATGCAAGACACTAATTTTGTGCAAGAGGGTTTTCATGAGTCTAATGTTCCTGTACCTTGTTGTTCAGGCTGCCTGTACTCATCAGTAATAAAAATGTCATTTTTTAATATAGATGCACACATTATTTATATATGTATGTTAGCAAAACATATATATATAATATATATTTCAACACATGTTTTATATATGCATATTTTTAAATACATATATATAGTATTTATTGAAATAGAGGGGGAGAGGTAATTTTTCTACATAGGCTTGTTTAGGAAAGCTGTTTTTTGTGTGGATTCATTAAACGAATCTTTCATAAAACATATCTTGCTTTCTTTAGGGCAATACCACACCCTCGAGGCCATGCACACTTGGCAGCCCTTGTAAGCCACGAGTGTAAGTTCTTTCAGTTGTCTCCCTACAAGCGATTCCTTTCGTTCAGACTGCTGTCTCCCAGTTGATCCGTTAACGTAGGTTGCTGCTGTAAAGATGTTCCAGCTGGGCAATTGCACTGTAGAAGAAAGTGAAGGATGTTCTTTGCAACATTACGACACAGCAGTGACTTACTTTCATATGTTTAACACTCTTAGTATTATCTTCAGGTTGCTTCTACAGTAATGCTAATGCAGGAATCTCAGATGTATTTTGTTGGAACACAGATACTGTACAAAATACCATCCAAACTACCTATTTCCTGCACAATCTGTTTTTATAAGGTTAAAAATTTCTGACCTTTGTCCTTAGAAACTTCATTTTTAGGTTATGAGTCTAGATACTAAACATGTGCTGCTGCCATACTTTATGTGAGGCAAGGGTGACTTACTGTGAAAAATGAACTTGGTTATGGTTAAACCTCCAAATACCTGCCCGTGAATTTATGTCAACACAAATGTACAATATTATAGAGCTTAAATGTCTTTGCAAAATCAGGCAATGTAGTAACTTGGCAGTTGCCTTATGCTTCCTCTGTACATATAATTTATGAAATTTTAGTCTTTTTAATACCATTTTATACAAGAACCTGAACTGCAGAATAACTTCAGTATTTGGCCAACTAGAAATTTCTTGTCATGAAATTTTAACTCTCTTCAGCTCCAGGGTTGATTCAGATAGTTATAATTTGGTTTAGAAGATTTTTTTCCAGAGAAATGGAATTTGTGTTAAATATTTTGGATTTGAGTTTTGTTTGAAACACATACACAGGTGTATTGATATAGTCACGGGCACAAAACCAATGAAATGCACACTGGTGTTTGAAATACTCTGATGCATTTTCCGATGTGAGAAATGGGTGCATCTTTTTCTCCCAAAAGACTACAGAATCTCATAGTTTAAAGATGTTGTTTCATTCCTTTCTATTGTCTTTCAGCCTACAACTTCTCTCATAGAATAGATCATTTGTCATTTGGAGAGCTTATTCCAGGAATTATTAATCCTTTAGATGGAACAGAAAAAATAGCATCGGATCGTAAGTGTTGTGTGTTTTTAAAAAAGCATCTTGTTTTCTGTATTTTTCCAATAATTACATTTAAAGTACTACCATGTTTCATGAACGTTGTGATTTACAAACAGCATGTCCTTCTAAATTTGGTAGTGAGCAATGCACTGTTCAGTTATCTACGTGGCCTCTTAAAGGCATGATTTCTTTTTGGTATCAGTATCACTGTAACTGTACTTTGCTGTTTTGCTGAAGTTGATTTGCAGTTTCGCCCAGGTTTATGTAATGTTGAATTTACAGTATGTCTGGACATACTGCAAAGAATTTTGCAGCAGTAGGCTGCAGTGGAGATTCATAGATCTGATTGTTGTTGTAAAGGGGAAAAAATAAGTCTGACTTGGTTTTAAAAAAAGTAAGTAGCATCATGAGTCTTGGATTCTGTTCCTGTGTGTTTGTCACTTCCATGGTGTATTTTGTGAGGCTACTACAGGAAGGGTTTGTGTATCACTTTGTTTCCTTATGTATAAATAAAGGAGTGCAGTAACCTACTTTACAGAGCTACCTGTGCCTCGTCCTCTGACTTGCGTTCCCCATGAGGGTGATCCCCAGAACCTTCTAAAGCTGCTGTTGTCTCAAAGTCAGACAGTCCATTGGCTGTTCCAGCCAGAGTGGTTTAGGGTAGTTGAAACAAATTGCTTCAGTCTATCAGTGTTTCTTCTCTTAGGGAATTGCACGAGGACAGAGCAGTCATAAATGCATAAGCGTGCTGGTTGCTCTGGAAGAATTCTCTAGAAGTCTGTCTAATCAAGAGAAAAACTGTAACCGGATTAGAAGGGCTTCCAGCGTTGTATAGACAATCCAATGGCTAAAATCCATTCAAACCACTGTCGAGGTGTATGTATCATGGAAAATGTGACTGTGTGAAACTTGTTCAGTTCTGGAAAACACTGTCTGTGTATTTCACTTGGAGCTTTGAGTGGCCTGACCTTAATGAATCTTTTCATTACATGGGTAAAATGTAAATTTCTCCGAGTACAAATGTGACATTGGCCTTGCCCATGGAAACTAACTTTGTTCACGCAAATGGTGCTGAAGTAGTTTTGGCAGTGCTGGGACTCCTTGGAGAATGTCCCTAGTGTAAATGGCTTAGCTGATTAACTGTTTTAAATATTATTTGATTTATTTGTGAATGTCTCAGGTGGTCTTTGAACTCTGTACTAAATTCAACAGTGAGTTTTGTTTTTTTTCCTAGACAACCAGATGTTCCAATATTTCATCACAGTTGTGCCAACCAAACTCCATACATACAAAATTTCAGCAGAAACTCATCAATTTTCAGTGACAGAAAGGGTAAGTAGAAGTAAAGAGAAAACCACGCGTAGAAAAATCTAACAGTGATTGTTCTTAACAAAAGGTCAAATGTGAAAACGGAGACTTAGTTGTACCGTGGTTTTGAAAGCTCCTCTGTTGTGAAGGGACTCTGTAGAATGTTCCAATGCACTAGGTTTATCTGTCAGTGATGTAATACTGATGGTAAAACATGTGTGCTTGGCGACACATGCTAACTTCTTGCACTAGTGTGTTGCATCTGGAGCCTGATACTAGAATTAATGGTTGGATACCCAGTCACTTCCACTTCACTGGATGCTAATAGTGGTGATGGGGGAAATCCTGGGTCTGTAATCTTGTGTGTAGCTTTACAAATATTTAATCCACCTTTTGCTTTTTAGCCACGTGGGAAGCAAACCAAAGAACGCATCTCACTTGAATGTCCTGAACTTGGTTGTGGCGTGTTAGAAATGGGAACAAAGGTAGTTTGTATGAAAAACTAATCGCCCAGAAAGCATCCCTGTCTCTCAGCTGTCTTGTTTAACCGTTGTTGGACCAACTTTAATTATTCTCCAGACTAGAGAGCATCCTGGGCTTGGAGAGGCTTTTAATTCTGACTCCGTAAAGAAAGAAGTTATTGGAGCGTAGCGCATGGGCAATCATAAGGTGCTAATTTTAAAGACTGCTGTAAATAAGTGAAAGGCCTTATTTGCACCAGTTATGTGTCTCATTTCCAGACACTGAACTCTGTTCCGATCTTTTATTCAAAAGCCAAAGAAAAAATTCTTTGTGAAAAGCTTAATTAAAAAGGCAGATAAAGTGAGAGGTGAGAAGGAAGCCTTGGGTTGAAAGGAAATTCAGAGATTAGGATGGCAGTTCACTGTAATACAGTTTGTGGTGTTCTCCAAGGGAGAAAACTCCTTGTTTCCTCACAATTCCATGCTGTGCTTCTGAAAAACACATAGCATGGGGAAGTAGGGTCGAGGTGCTATCTTGGGGTTCAACTTGAGACATGCAGGCCACTGGAAGGAAAAGTTTGCTCTAATACTCATGAAAGCTGGAGTAGAGAGAGGAACAAAGAGGAATTTCATGGTGCAGTATACTCCCATCTCCTGCTGGTCTAGCAGCCTGTTTCATGTTTTCTCTGCACAATCTGCAACCACTAAGGCACTCCTTAAACTTCTGAATGTCAATCAACTGCTTATCTTACTCCTTATTGCATTTCCTAGTCTTGTATCAAATTTTTCTCTCCTTCTGCTGGAAGGGTGGTTTCTGTCAGTTAATTGTGCAGTCTCCGTTAGCTCTTCAGTTTTCATTTGTTATGAAAGTTGCAGTGCAGTCATGAGTTGCTTAGGAGAAAAGCTTGTGAATAGTGGAGGTAAAGTTGCTCTCACTGTTTCCGTAGGTAGCCCCACTGAGTGTAAATTTTGTTTGTGTCTGTCTTTGGAAACCAAATACCCCTAGCAGATGAGCTGGGAAAGGCTATTGAGAACAATTAACGCTGCACAACCTAGGGCATTTATTTTGTAAGAGTGGGCACATACACAGACCTGCAAAAAGGTGGTCGGTAGCCATAGCTAAAACTTGAATACAGTGAGGTTTAATTGCCCATGGTGAACAGACTGGGAAGCAGAGTTTGAAAGGTGTGGGCAGAATCATCTCTGCTGTTGTTGATGTTTGAGATAACTGTGTTTGTCCGTGTTAAAAAGATTTAACTCTAGCAAAGGTTCACTGATACTTGAGATACCAATGCAGGGCTAGTTATTTTCAACAGGTTTTAGCAACCAACAGTTAAATCTTCCGCAGCAGTAGAAGCTCGAAGCAGACCAAAATGGTTAGCAGAAAAAGAATTCTGTATCATTTGAGGGTGGAGTTTTGGGCGTTCTGTTTAACTTCGTATTCTTTCTTTCACCGTTTGACCTCAAAAGATCAATAAGGCTTAGGGAAACAATAGAGGAAAAACAAACAAAAAACCAACCCTTTTTGTCCCTTGCCAGTGGCAAGGTCTGTTTAACTACCTTCAGCCTTCTCTTCCTTTGTAGTGTGCCTGGACATCCATCCTGTGATGCTGAATGTTGTCATGCTGTTGTCATGCTCTTGAAATACAGAAAGCATTCTGTACTGCTTTGGGTTGGTGGTTTGTGTTTTGGTTTTGTTTGGGTTTTTTTAACCTTTGCAAAGCTTCTGTGACCTGGTATCGTAACTGCTACATTATTTTGGCATCCTTTTTGTTTTGGTTTGGTAGCAAAAGAAGCAGCACGGTTTACGTCAACGTTAGCTGACTGGAGAAGCTGCACAGTCTGTATTTTACAAAGTGGTATTCTGCTTTTTGTTTTGTGTTGTGTTCTGCGTGGGTTTGAGCACAGACTGTTAAATCTACGGGTGAAATGGAGCTGTGATACGTTGTTTTTCTGTTCATTCTTGCTTGTCTGTCTTCTCCGCTCTTATTAGCCTAGACGTGGCTGAATTTGTCTTCAGCCAGTTATGTTCTTTTCTGCTGCCTTTGTATATTTTCAGCCAGACTTACTTGGCAGTGCATTTATCAACACCTTCCACTAACAATAAAATGATAGCAAACTTTTGGAAGAAACTTAAGATTGTGGTGAGGTTTTTCTCCTGAAACCTCTTTTAAAAAGTAGAGATTTAGAGCAGCCACGCTTTCCTTTTTGGGTCTTTTGCTTTATGAATTTGGGCAAATGAGAAGAAACTGTAGAAGTTCTTGGATTAGGACTGAGGCATCTGATCTGTTTAGGGTAGTCATGGTGAGTTAGTTTTTGTTTTTGTTGAGGTGCATTTCTTGCTTTGTGACTGTTGTCTGAAGTGACCTGACTGACAATAAGTTTGAAAAGAGGCTTGATACTGGTATTCAGTTTCAGACCCCAGAATTTTGAAATTTTGATCTTTTTCCTTTTTATTTTTGTATCCACCACATCGAAGTAGTGGATTATGGCGTATGTGTGAGTATGCACTGAGGGGAGAAAAAAAAGACATTGGTCTAATTTAACTTAAGTTCCTGAATTTCCGTTATGGTATACTCCAGTTTAGGGTCTTCCCTGATACTTTTAAGAACCAGCAATTAAATCCTCTGTGGCATTTGAATCTAGAGATAGCTCCGGAGATATGCTCCAAGGAAGAGGGAGGATGAGAGCTACTGAGCCTTAGATGCAGTGTGTGGATTTATATACGCTGTCTGGGAAAACAGCCATAGCTCAGGCTGTTCAACAGCCTCAATGTCTCCTGAAGGTCTCTTCCTGATTTAAGTGATTAATAGTAGTGCATAAAGTAGGAAGAGTTGGGGCCCCGTATTGTACCAGTGCACTCACTTGAGTCCACCGTGGCAGTCACAGGGCTGCGGCACTTATCCTCATGGGCACTAAAAGCAACCTGATTATAAACATCCTTGTTTAAAGGACCATGTAAAGTAAATCTTGAGAGGATACCAGAGGCTGACAGTGAGCGTTGATATGCAGCATAGAAGACCAGCGACCAGGGAAGTAAATTGTTATTTAATGATGTTTGACTTTTAGAAGGTACCGGCCGAAGTTATTTTGAAGTTCCCTGGTCTTCTGTTGAATGCTAGCTCTGAATAAGCAACTCTTTGTCAAAGATTATTTTCTTTGTGTCTAATAACAACTGACTAATTTGTGTTTCTCTCAGGAAAGAGTAATTAACCATGCAGCTGGCAGCCATGGGGTGTCAGGAATATTCATGAAATACGATATCAGTTCACTTATGGTGACAGTGACAGAAGAACACATGCCTTTCTGGCAGTTCCTAGTGAGGCTGTGTGGCATTATTGGAGGAATTTTTTCAACTACAGGTAACTATCAGTGCTCTCCATTTTAAGTTCTACCAGAACTTTTTTTTGGCCATGGTGATGTTACGAATGAATTCCAGGGGAGTCCTGAACCTCTAGCCTGTCTATGTGCACCGAAATGTGCAATGAAAGTTACTCATTTTGGTGACCCAGTATGCAGTTTCTGCTGTTCTAAGGGCCTGTTGTTTCCTTTTTGGTAATTGTAGCATAGTTTATGTACTTCTGCAAGAGCAAAGAGATACATATATATATATACAGAGAGATATATATATATACATTCACCCATGAAAGCTGGTATATATATACACACACATGTGTGCACGCGCATGCCGACTTCTGCTATTCCATGTATTCCCTATAGTTGAGATCCGTTGCTAAATCAGTGCCAAAAGTTGAGATAAAATTTCCGTCTGAAGTAATGGGGAGTACTTTCCTTGTGTAACTTGTCAACGTACTGCAAGATTTGCTCCTTCAAAGAGAATAAACGAAGTTGAAAAGACACGATTCACTTATTAGTCAAGACATAGTAGGGTGTCTTGATTCCAAGTTATTTTCAACTTGAAGAGAGCATAGAAAAGAGACCTTGAACTAAAAACTTTCAAAGTAGGTATTTCTGTCCCACAGAGTGTATTTTCACCCATGAAAGCTGGGCAGAGGGAATTACATTTGCTTGGATAGCTTTGTTTTTGCTTTTATTGGTGCGTTTCAGAACGCTAGAATTCCCCCTGCCCTTGATGTTTCCTTTTTTATGTTGATTCCTCAGTTTCCTGTACTGGTTTACTGCACTCTGTCCCATTTAAGTATTGTGTAGAGTTTACTTCTGTAAATACTACAGTTTTACTACCTGTGACCACTTAAATCTTGTTTTACGTTGCAGGAATTTTACATGGCTTTGGAAGGTTTGTAGCAGAAGTTATTTTTTGCCGTTTCAGACTGGGCTCTTACAGATCCACATCGGTAAGAAAAACTTTCTCTAAGTATTAAATAAGTGGTACAGCTACCCGAGGGTGGATGATAAGGACAACTTTGGGACTCGGTCCCAGTAGAATTTAAGACGCTTACAATAAACCCTGCCCTTGACATGCATAGAGCAGAGATTCAACAGCTTTGGAAAACCTAACGTGTAAGGAAGCAAGGTGTTTTCTAAGAAGCTGAGTTCATGAAACTGAGTCTCTTGGAGATTCCTCTGCTACATTCCCTACATCTTCCTTATTATATTCTTTTTATTTTCCTGTTGCTACAAAAAAATATGTATTTTCCCAGGCCTTATCTGTCTTCCTCACATATTCTTCTTCTGCTTGGCCTGCAGACCGAAGAAGAGGTGCTGCAGGGGTTCAGTGTTGTTGCTGATTAGGCTGCTGCCAAGCAGTGTGAAAGTTACCTTTCCCTTCATGGGGCATCAATATGATTGCTTCTCTGGCAACTACTTGATTTTGTTTTACTTTCATTTTTCCCATTTAAGAGTGTAGGTAGCCTTTAAGACTTCTGCCTTTCTCTCAGATTTGGTTGAAGTTTGCTGCCTGGCAAAGTTGTGTGACTGGGCTGGGGGAGAAGAGGGAAGGCAAGCGGATTTGTGTAATTTGTGTTTGGGAGACCATGCAAAAGGCATAAAGGAAATGCCCAAGAGTAAAGAAGTGTGTGTTTTGGGGGAAGGAGGGGAGATTCTGTTTCTGGACAAGCTGTTAGTAACACTTTGGTTTTGTTTGACTAGGTCCCACTTGCTGATGGCCACACAAGCAACCACTTACCTCCGATTACAGACAATAGTACGCATTAGCCTCCTGAGAAAACTTTCTTTCTCCCTGCCTGATACAGAAGATGTTTTTTTATAATAAAGAAAACGTTGTGCAATACGCTGAGACAGTGCTGATGGGCAGCAAAAAATGAAACCTTTACAAAAAAAAAAACCCAAAACCAACAAAAAAAACCCAAAACAACAAAGCAATCTGCTTAACTTTTTGTCTTTCGAAGTGCACATGGCGTCATAGGAGGTTGTGAGACCAGTGCGGAGGACCGTCTTCTGGAGGTGGAAGGAGCATTGCTGCCAATACAGTATTCGTGGTCGAGCTGCACGTCTGTGTGATGACTGCCATTGACCCCTGAAGCACCTTGGCGATCTTGGTTCTGTCCCTGGGAAGGCTCGCAGGCTCCGAGGAGAAAGGCGTGCAAGCGGGACGTGTGGCAGGGCTGGGCAGCAGACAAAGAGGGACAGTCACGGAGCTGGGGTCTCTCGGAGGTGTACAAACGGGTTTGGGTTTCCTCCTCCTTTTATAATGGCGGGGCCGGGGGCTAAGATGCTGTTCTTACAGGTGGGGAGCGATCCTAGAAAATCCTGAAGAAGCAGGAGACAAGAGGGAGCTCAGGGAGTAAGGTGGAGCCCAGGCCATAACGTTGGTTGTAGCCACTGCCTTTCTGTCCTCCCGCCATTCCCCCCTCAGTGCGGAGCCGAGGAGCTCCTCCTCTGCATTGTCACGCAGCCGCTTTGCCAGCAGTGAGGATATCACTTCTGGTGGTGGCGTGGGAGTGCCCCAGGACTCAGAATGGGCTCCAGTGTGCACAGTTTTTTGACCTGGAATAAGAAGCCTTTTAAATAAGGCATTTGACTGCAGTTTTGATAAAATGCAAGACTCCCTAGCAAAAGATCAGGGAATCTTTGTGCGCTTCTTTCTTGGTAAAGAATTTACTTTGAGACCTTCGTTGTACCCCTGCTGCTGGTACATGAGCCATGGTATGTAAATCCTGGAGGTGAGGAGGAAAAAGAGCAGGAAGCTGCTTTGCTTCGGTTCAGCTCAGTGCTGCAGAAACGCGGGATTCGGGGCCACCGGGAGGTCCGCTAGCCCAGGCAGGGAGCGGTGGGGTCGGTAGTAGGTGACTTCAGGGAATCGGAATCATTTTGCTGCAGACAGATGATAAGGGATCTGCAGAATTAATCCTCACTGTTCATGAAGGTTTTTGTAAAATAAATGAAGAGAGCAATATCAGTTTTATATTGTAAATATGCTAATGAGAATGAATGTTATTAATGCAGATGGTGCTTTGAGAAACTAAAAACATCCTCTTACTGCTGGACTGCTGGCATACACCTGTGGCTAAACAGTTACTCCACCAGGGTAAAAGATTAATAGTATGGTTCCTTCTCAGCAAAACTGATTTAATGATATATTAGGAGATGATGCCAACCCTGGCCTTGCTTACCATGGAATGAATATTATGATTGAGAGGACTAATTATGGAGAAATAAAAATCTCTGTGGTGGTGTCAGATTTTGCTGACTTCTGTTAATGTGCTTTACAGAACGCTTGGATCTTGGTGATGAGCCCAGTGTAAATAATGTAGCTGAGTTGCTATGCAAAGCAAAGGGCTTCCTAAACGGAGAAATTCTATGAAATAGTAAATAAAATGTGGGAAATGGGAAAGACCTTTGTTCAATTTGACTGTTGGGAAAGACCTTTGTTCAATTTGACTGTTGGGAAAGACAGAAGTTCAAGGAAGCCAGGTCCGTGGGGTTGACAGCCAGGTTTGTGGTTTTCTCTTTTGTGTTTTTTTAACACCAATTAAAACTCCAGCCACTTGGGAAGCTCTTGTCCTTGGTAAACAAGAAAATCAAAAGCTGTAAATTTTTGGTTCCCATTTCTCTTTGGCATTTCCCTCTGAGGTTTCTTCTCTGCTTCTGCTCAGACTGGTTCTGCTTTGGGCTTTGTCCTAACACTTGTTTCTTATCTGCCTGGAACAGACTGTCGTGGTGGGAGATACTGATCTCAGTTGACTTTCTGTACCAGAACTTAAATGTTATTTTCTATTCTCACATAAAAGAGCCAAGCGGCTTAGCGTGTCTTAAATCCTTGTGTGGCGTATTCATGTTGTTCTGTCTGGAACAGAGCTTGGGTGACAGCTGGGTGCTAATGGAAGGGCATTTGGGATCGACTTCCCGTTGTCAGATGCCGCACTGTGGGGCGAATACAGGATCAGTTCAACCTGTGTTGCTGTGCTGCTTGCTGTCGCTCCACAGAGGGTTTGGTTGTTACAGCTGGGACCACTGACCCTTGTACCACACGCGGTCATTAGCTTAACCAGCACGTGCGAGGGTCTTCCAGAGAAAACCGTTGTTTATTGCAGTGACTTCTTTTGGTCATGTTTGTTTATGTGGTGTAGAAGTGAGTGTAGTATGGAAAAATGAAAGGAACGGGTGTCCCAAGGGAAACAGAAACCCTGATGATGACCTGATGTGTGTTTTCTGAAAGGGGAGATGGAGGCTGAAAAATGCCATTTTCTAGGTCAGGAAAGATGGTCAAAATTATGTATTTTATCTTTGGCTCTTACACGATGTTGAAGACATTTTAACCTTCATAGAATCATAGAATCATTTAGGTTGGAAAAGACCTTTAAGACCATTGAGCTCAACTGTAAACCTAGCACTGCCAAGTCCTAACCCCTAACCCTACTTCAGGCTCTTTTCATTCTTCCCCCTGGCTTTGCTAGCAGATATTTTGGGGCTTTCACTGGCAGGTGAGGAAGAAATGCAGGTGTCTTTCTAGTGGGAGAGGGGTTGAGTTAACTGATGTAGCAGACTTTCTTTAAAAAGGCAAACCCAAGCTGCTCTTCACTCTCCTGAAGTTCTCATCCTAGAAATAGCTGAGTAATTTGAAAATTCAGCGCTGCCCATGCCTGAAGCTCCCCGGTGGGGACCTGCACTGTGGGTGCAGTGCCCGGCCTTTCCCTGCAGCTGCCGGCTCTGCCCTGGGTGCCTGTTTGTGTCCGTGGGGTGGACCATGGTGGGATGGGGAGGTGTGCCGGTGGAGGCGGTCCTGCCCGGAGCTGGGCAAGGGCTCTCCCTCCTCTGCCTTGCCCTGCCCGAGATCCTCTTAAGCGTTTTAGGGACCGATTTGACAAACTGAGCCCTAAGCAGTCGGCATAGTTGCTTAGGAACGGTCAGAGGCACATATGTATTTGGTGTAAATGCAGCTGTGATTAACTGTACGGACAAAACCGAGGTCAGGGAGGCAGCCTGCCTCCTCGTTCTGCTATCTAGTTCTCTGGGAGGAGATCCGGGACGAAGGGCGTCTTGTGCAACGTGTAACTGATGCAGTAACCTTGAGCAGGAGGGATGTGATCACCCTGATCGCATCTCCGGTGCCACTGACGATACTAAAACTCCCCACTCTTTGTTTCTTCAGAGGTAACCAAGTGCCACAGCTTTTTTCCGAGAAGGTGGCAGATGAGAGCAGCGTGTTTGGAGATACTTGCGAAGATCTCCATCTGTTTTTAAAAGGCACCCCAGAAAGCGGGGGTGTGGGAGCGTGCGTCTAATGTACGTGTCACTTACTGAGATCGGAGCTTAGTTGCAAAGTTACTTCTCATAAAGACGCGTTGTTTTTTTTTTTTCCCCTATCAACACTCAGTTAATGCAAACCATGTCTGGTGTTTGGCCCTGGCGGTGGTCTGTTGTTTAGAGAAAATGCTGTTGCGGGCATGTGCAGTTAACAAACAGTCGTTATCGCTTCCAGAAGCCTTAAGGGACTCTGCCTGCTGCCTTCAGCGCCCTGGCAAAGGTTTGGTGTTGTGGGTCTGTCCGCCTTCTGCCCTTGCACGCCTTGCTAGAGACTGGCGTGCGTTTCAGCCTGTTTAGTTACAGTGGTATGAAGTGCTTTGTCTTTTCCTCCTGCCGTGGCTTAGTGTCCTTTCCGAAGCACTTCTGGGCGCTGCTGGCCCAGGAGCAAGGCGGTGTCACCTTTTCCTGTCTTCAGAAGAGTTTTCTGAGAGCCGAGGTACTTCGGGGTGGTAATAGTGGGCTCCTGTTTCCGTACGTTTGGCTGTTTGGATAAGCAGAGATTTCCCTTTCCAGCCGTTGCACGAGGACCGTTTTGCCGAGGCAGGTAGCACTCCCTTCGGCAAACAGCCCCTTCCCCACCACCCGTTTCTACTCGGGCCTGAGCGAGCGCCGCAGGGGCAAGCGGCGGGTGTTTGCAGAGCCTTGCCGCGACCTGCCCGCCCTCCCCGGGTAGAGGGAGGTCTCCTCCTCTCGGGGTGGGGAGATGAGGGCATGATGGACCTGCCCCGTTCCTCTTGCTGCTGCCGCCGGGGCAGTGACGTGATGGTGCCTTTGTGCTGCTGCTGCTGCTGCTTTGAGCCCGCTGTCCGCCGTTGTATCGAGCAGCTGCTGCAGAAGTCATTTGTTGCTGGCTAGTAGGTTCCCTGGTGTGAAATTGGACGTGACCAGAAGAAACGGAGTGATTGACTCACACTGAAAAAACTGTTGGATCTCCTTTTCCTGGAAGAGGTGTTACTTACATTTTTGCCTCTTCCCTCCTTCTCAGACTCTCTGCATATGGAGACTGTAGAGTTAAAATGTGAAGTCGTTTACCTCTGCCCACCCCGCTCCTTAGCGGGCTTTTTTGATCTGTGCTTGTGGATCCCGCTCCGTGTAGACAGGCAAGACCCAGACCGTGCAGCCGCACTTGCGTTGGCAGGGGCGTCGAGCGCTGTGGAGATGCCTCCCCCTCCGACACGCGCGCGCTCACCAGGTGACAAGCTACGCTGTCCGTACCGGTGCCAGCGTGTTGCTGCCTGTCCTGCCAGACCTGCAGCTGGGCCTTTGAACTGCTCAAGCGTCCGTTGAGGTGTTGCTGTGCACGAGCTTCATGGCAATTTGGGGGACTTGACTTCTTTCCCCTCCAGCAGGCTCCTGCAAGAGGTGACAAGTGTGCAAGAGCATCCGCTGGGCCAGCCGCAGTCATCGCTCCTGTTGCCCTTGGCACAGTGTGGGCTTCCCTGAGGATGGGGCAGTAACTCCGAGTACTTTGGTGGGTGGGAGCTTGTTCATACAAGAAATGTTTGATTTTGGGGGGGACTGTGCAAGGGGACGTGCAGGACTCAGCTGTGTTTCATTCCTGCCCAGGGATCTGGAAGCGAGAGCCGCCCCTCGTCCCTCACCTTGTCCCTGCCG